AATTGGATTTTGGGGCATCACAGGAATATGCGTGGATTTATTGTAAGTGCCGTAGAGTCTTTCCACTTAACGTTTTTCGATTTTCAATTGAAATGCATGTTCACTTGGCAGGTCTTAGCTTTGCTGGCGACAGCCAACGCAGAAGTGGGCGGTTATAATTATGGAGCTGGAATTGGAGGCTCTCTATCTGGAGGCTCACTGTCCAGTGACTCAAATTTAGACTATGTGTCCAACAGCCAGCCCGATTACACCAGCGTCAACACGGAATTCAACAAAGAGTTCTATACATATTCAGCGCCAGAAGCAGATTTCGAAGATAACCGCAGCGTCGGCGACTTGGCTGCCTCGCTCAAAAGAAATCTGCGCGTGCTCTTCATTCGTGCACCCGAAAACAAAGGACTTGAGAACGCTGCAGTGGCGCTTGCCAAACAGGCTGCCGAGCAACAAACTGCCATTTATGTGCTGACCAAGCAAGGCGATCTCACCAGCCTGGCCAATAGGCTGCAGAACCTCAACCACGTGAATGCCAAGAAGCCCGAGGTACACTTTGTCAAATATCGCACGGCAGAGGATGCGATAAATGCGCAGCGCACCATTCAGCAGGAGTACGATCGCCTGGGCGGCTCCTCCACATCCTACAATGCTGGCACTGCGCCCGTGCTTGACTTTGCCTCAAAGCAAGTGGTGCAACAGCCACAGCAGCCGTTGCAGCTCGTGGATGAGCGCCGAGCGGGAGACATCAGCATTGAGTCCACTGACAATGTCGGCTCTCGTGTAACCGAGCTGGAGGCGCCTACTGGCTATGCGTCGCCAGCAGCCGCGGCGCCTGGCGCCACCTATTTGCCTGTTAACAAGGTCAAGTAGACGAGGCCAGTGCTCGCGCTCCAGCAAATTAGCCAAATTGTAATACTTAGTCTAACGTTATAAAATACAAATTTAATTTTAATGTGCAGCTAGTTTTGCTTTTGCTGTTTCTCTCTCTCATTGTGATTAATGGAACACACCATTTCAGCGTCTTGTAGTTGGTATCAGCAGGCACTTAGCCTCCACTCGCCCTGCCGCCAGCAATTAAAACTAAAAGCGCACTGGCATTGACCGCGCTTAAGACTGGCCTCTCGCATTAAAACAACTGACCCCAGCTGCCAGTGCTAGAAGCGCCTACCGTTTGCCCCCTTGCTGCTCACAATTAGTAGCCCGGTTTATGACACGTCGCCGCGGCTTCTGCTGACCCGCCCAGAAGAATTACTGCCACACACGCGATCAGCGCCAGGGACCAGCTAATTACATCTACTCCGGCGAACAACCATGGCCAATTTCTTGTGCCTTAAGTCGCGGCGAGTCGCGACACTTAAAGGTCGCCCTTTTGAGGGTCAACTCAGCGATTCGGGCAATTTCAGCACACGAAAAACGTACAAACGGCAACCACACTGAAAATTAAATGAAAATTACAAGCTGCATTTAAGGGCGCGCCCTTTGTAGGTTGTTCAAACTAAAGAACCAAAAAAATCCAGCACACGAAAATAGTAAGAAATCCACGAGTACGGAATGTGCCATTTGAATAGTCTAAATGTCGAATGCCCTCTTCCAAGCTAAGAAATATTTTTCTTACATTATTTCATAGTTTTATTAGGTTAATAAATAAATAGCTTTTACTTAACTCTCGTAATAGGCTTAGAAAGTTAAACAGAACAGCTTTGGCCTATTTCGGGACTCGTAGCCGGGAAGCTTTAGTTCACGACTAGAAATTTCTGTTCTAATACTTATTTCCCTTTGAAATTCCTACTACTTAAAAACACATTTATGTTCAAGATATTTTAATTATTTTGTTTGTTTATCAATTTATCATATAATTTTTATATATTTATTTTAGAATTTAAGTCTTTTTTAACTCTAATTGTTTTAAAGTTGGACACTAATTCAAATAATTTTACAATTGTCGAGACTTGCGTACTACAATGTATTTCAACTCTGACAATTTGTACTTGCATGCCTTTGAAGGCTTGGGTACGTTTAGAAAAGGTTACCCAGGGCAAAAATAATAGAGACGGCACAAACGGTTGCAGTTAGTATTCAGCTGCAACACGCACAGGAACCTAAGCATACAGTCGTATACATATGTATATGCATATGTATGTGTATGTATGTGGATAGCTTATATACATATGTATGCATTTATCTGCGCTGGCTTGTGTCTGGCACAATGGTCTTACGTGTTGCACAAACATAAATTGTGCAACAACGTGTAAACTACTTTTTGACTGCATAAAACGCCCCATTCATATACCTTTGCCTGGCTGAGTTTCCTGTGTGCAGGGCCACACTCTCGACCCGCCCGCCCGCTGCCTCCGCCCCCGCTCCAAGTGTACATTCAGCGCTACGTGTTATGCCTTTTATAGCCATGCCGCTGCTGGTGCTGCTGTTGTTTTTGTTTCTTATGTTTTTTAGTAACATTTTTTTTGTGTTACTTTCATTCGGCGCTCTTAAAGGCGCTTCAAGTCAAGCAGCTGAACAAAACCCTTAACAACAAAATGGCAAGCATTCAGTCAGCGGAACAATGCGGAGTATATTTGTGTCGCCCGAACACTTGTTTGGGTTATTGTGGCAATTACTTAATCAATTTTAGCGGTTAATTATGCTGCATGACCAATGGCACACATGGCGCATACTTAATGTAGTTCATAAATGCAGCAAGGTCGCTGCTCGGGGCATGCTTTGACATTCCATTTGCATAAAATCACACACACACACAGACACACATTCATGCATGTGTGTGTGCTGTGCAGTGTATTAAGCGTAAACTTAATAAACATCGTAGTCTATGTCACGCCCCGCACACGCACACACATACACACACACATACACACGGACACAGAAATTTATGCACACTGCTGTAAGCTGCTGTAAACATAAACGTGACCGTTACTTGCTGCCCTCTCTTGTTGTTGTTGTTGTTGTTGTTGTTGTTATTTGTTGTTGCTGTTGCTTGCACATTTTATAGTTGTTTTTTTTTTTACTCCGTGCTGGAGTATTGCATAAATATGCGCCAAGTTTTAATAGTGGGCGCGTCTGCAATTACGCCCACAGTCGTACTCACATACGTAAATACTGTGCAGCCTGTAACAGAAGCCATGAATAAAACAAATACAGGGTGGTTCGCTTAAAGCTAAAGTTTGCCGTAATTTAGACTGTATCAGACGCTCTCATGTTTACGTAAAAATGTTTAAAGAAGCTTAAAAAAACCTACGATAAATTTTGATTTATTTGCCATTCAATTGAAAGTGAACTAGAAATGGAAAACCAATTGCAAATATATTTTTGAGTCTTTATTTGCTCTACCAAAAAAAACATACAATATGTTGTTGTGCTCATAAGAACGGCTTGTCACATAGAGAAGGAATAGAAAAAGGGTTTTCACTTTCTTCACTTTAGACATCTGCTATTAAAGTGCTCCTTAAGCGTGCTGCTATACAATAAGATATTTTGTAGCCACACCCTGTATGCTCAGCGCTGCTTCAAGGCTTCAAAGGCTGCAGCTCAGGTACATCGCAGCTCACTTGCAACTGTGCCAGCTGGCTTATGCTCTGCCGGGACGGGGCTCGTGCACTTTGGTTATAAATTATTGCTTATTAACGTTAAGTTTTCAGCAAAATTAGTTTTGCACACAAACACAGTCACACACGCTGCATTTTGAGTTGTGGCAAATTATTTTTAAAACGTTTTTGCTTTCGCCCACGGAAAATGCAATTAGCCGACAAGGAAATGGCGCAAGAGTTAATCATGGTTTCCACTTAAGGATAAATTAACCAAGTGGCGTTTGCCACGAATGCTCAGCGACACACATCAGATACGATTGGGAAATGTGAAATTCATGTGTGTGCAGACAAGCGAGCCAGCCAGCCAATCGCGCTAAAAGCATTTTAGATCTGGTTATATAATGCACTATTAAACAGTCAATCCAAATATGATGCGATATGCGATTTTAAGTGATATTGGCTGCCAAATGTCAAGCAAAATGTTAAAAGTGTCCAAATGTGCTTGTTAAGTTGCAAGTGATGCGTTTGTTTTATTGTCTTCAGCCTGGTTTGGCCTGGTTTACTGCACTTTATGTCAGGGCCATGTTGCAGCCGGCCCAATGCAAATGCCTGCCACATGGCGTATGTGTAATGCGTATGCAAGTGTGAGGCACGACCACACAACTTGAAAGAGCAACATCAGGAGCAGCAGAAGCAGCAGCAGCAGACATGGTAGAAGCAGCTCGCAGGCGAATTGTGGCGTTGCCTGTCATTAAACTAGCACCACACACACACACTTACATCTTCACGCGCGCAGACACACACACACGCACGCCATCTCAAGCACACACTTAAGCACATACGCATGCCCATGGCTTTGAAAGTTGAGCTGAAAAAGTTGGTATATTGGAAAAGTTTTCCTTCTTGATTTTTAATATCGCAGGTGAGCGTAAATAATTTATTGCATTCATTTACGTTTCACTTCCAATCGCGCCACGTAAACATTTCCAGCAGGCAGCTCGGTGGCAAGCAGGGGCACCATGCCACAAAATTTATTTATATTATCTACAATAAAAGGCATAGGGAACGAAGGATAAGCAATGGCAGCCCGGCTGGCAGCCGGTTTTAACAATGTGCCAACATCGCGGCACATGCACAAGCCAAATCCTTTTAGACCATAGATAAGAAAACTTTAATAAACACGCCACACACGCAACCTAGGGAAATTGATAAGAATATGAAAACTTTTTGCTGGGCACTGAACAGCTGGCTCAGTAACCCAGTCAAGGGCGGCATGGGCGGACCTGTGAGTGTGTTGTATGTGCCAAAGGTGGCAGGGTGCAGAACTTTGCACAGTTCGTCGTCTGCTTAGCTGACGGCTAAAAGTTGTTGCCTTTTAATTTGTAAGCCTCATAAATAAAACTCGGTTTATGCCAAGCATCGCCAGATGCCGGTTTGGGCTGATTAATGGCCCGGTTGTGGACTAACCTGTGCTTTTTCAACTCCATCTGTTGTTTCTTAATCTCCATATGCTTCTTGTTTATATCATAGTTGCGCTGATGTATTTCGTGTATCTCGCCGATGTCATGATAATTAGCCAGAGAGCTGAACGGATTGTTGTAGATGTTGCCAACGCCGCCATGATGCACATGTCCGTCGTGTCCATGGTGCGGCGCATACTGCGAGAACTCATCTGCAATGGCAAAAGTCAAGAGTTATTTTCACAAATTGGCTAATTAAACTAAACGTTGCGCTTGCTCAAAACCACCAGCTGACAATGCAGCTGGAAACATTTATATAATTGCATTCTCTCGCTCGTCTGTCATCGGGCAGAGAAACTAGAGTAAATATTACATATATTCTTTGATGCAAGTCAAATGACATCAAAGTTACAGTAGGTGGGTAGCTTTTAGAACGTTAGAACGGATGGGATATTAAAACGTTATTGTTGCCTTTCAATCGGGAGATATTAAAAGGAAAAAGAACGTTTCCATTGTTCGTTAATAAACATCAAACTTTTATTTCCCTTTCTATTTACATGTTAAATGGAACGTTAGCAAAGTATTTTCAACGCTATTTAAGCTAGGATCTTAAAATTTTGAATTTATACTCATTACAAATATTTATGACACGAAAGATGTAGGTCGAAGCACCAAATTCAGCAGGTGGACCACTGATGACCGCCTCTAAGGGTCGGCCCTCTAAACGCAAATATTAAAAGCTTCCACAGTTTATGAGCTGGACAAATAAAGAATAATAATACCAAAGCTCAAGTCGGTTGCACCCGACTGCAATATTCGAACTTATCGTGGTTTACTTACCGCCAGGACGGGCTCCACCCCAGCGCAGGCTCTTGTCGTAGCGATCGATGTAGTGGGGCACGTGGAACTGCGGCTGATACTGGCTGTAGTAATGCTGCTGATAGTAATGCTGCATCTGCTGCTGGGTCAGCGGCGTCTGTTGCTGCTGCTGCGTGCGGCGCTGATGCTTGCCGTTGAACGAGAAGACATGGTGGGTGCGCACGAACTTCTCCTCGACCTGTCGGAAGAGAGAGCGGGGCAAGGATCAGAAGTGGTTTCACATTGTTGACTTGTAATGTTACATAGCTTGCAAATAAAAGTCATTTCAATGTCAAAGCTTTGCATAAGGTTGCAAATAAAAAATGGATCATTGAGGTAGATATCCCATTATTATATCCCTCCCCTCTCCATCCGTCACGCAAATCCTCCCACCGCCATGCGATGCCCGGTCAGATGGTCGTGTGGCAGCGCGTTTCTGAATAAATTTCATTTTAGAGTTTACCATATTCTGTGTGCGCCACCAGCAGATATAATAAATTTATTTATATTTCATTTCCTTTTCCCTCAACTCTTGTTGTTGTTTTTCTCGCTGAGAAGCAGCTGCTACCGCTGCTGCTGCTGCTGCGGCTGACCCACACAGGCGCTGGGTCTAGGTCTGCGCCTGGGCCTGGGCCTGGGCCTGGGTAATTAAAATGAAAGCTCCATAAGCCGCGCATGTAGGCTATAATTATAAAATGGCTTAAACTGATGTTTATCTTAATGCAGCGCCACTGACATTCTGACGTCCCCTGGCAGCCATTCCATTTCTCGGTCACACAATATGCATTTGGTTATACTGCTCCCACACCCCAATACAACTGACCAACATTTGTGACCCTGGCCGTGTTTTCTGATAGATAAATAGTAGCTCTTATGCATACGCACCTTTTTGCCATTGATTAGCCATGTTATGTGCGGGGCTGGTCGTCCTCGGGTTGTGTTGCACAAGGCGAACAGCTTCTCGCCTATGGCGAAGGGTGTGCGCTTGCGGAACTTGATGGTGGGTGGACCTGTCTGAGGCACTGTAAAGACATTACAAGATGGGGGAGACGGCAATTAGTGTCCGTCAGCTGAAATTGGCTTGACAATTGTTACGCACAGAAAACGCTCATTAGCTCATCCGCGCTGGCTTTGGTAAAGATGGGCGTGTCCGTTGATACCTCGCAGTAGAACTGGCCCGACAAGTCGAACTGCACATTCTTCAAGGTTACCTGCGTTTCATTCGAGTTCTCCCACTGTTAGGCAAAAGAAAATAGTTTAAATACTCACTTATTTAACAGAAATAATTATCCAATTTATTTACTATATGTTAGTGCGTGATAATTAAGTGCAATTTACTAAATGGCTTACAACAGCTGTTGCATTCAGAACTAAATTCACAACGTCAAGGTTTGCGCTCTAAATAATTAAACATAATTACATTACTTAAAATTGCGGTCGATAAGATCAATAACTATTAATCTTTCACCAATAATAATTTGTCAGCTAAAGCTAATTTGATTAACGGGTAAAGTACATGTGCATTTTTATACCCTGAACCCATTAAAAATGGGTATAAGGGTATATTGTATTTGTGCGAAAGCCAAATGTATGTAACACGCAGAAGGAAGCATCTCCAACCCCATAAAGTATATATATTCTTGATCAGCATAAATAGCCGAGTCGATCTAGCCATGTCCGTCTGTCTGTCCGTTCGTCCGTCCGTCCGTCCGTCCGTCCGTCAGTATGTATGAACGCATGGATCTCAGAACCTACATGAGCTAAAGACTTGAAATTTTAGATGTAGGTGCTCCTAGCTTCCGCGCAGATCGAGTTTGTTTCCGATAATCGATAACTTACTCTTTTTCCAAGCAATCGATAAAAATCGATATCGATATCCTGTTTTTTGGGCAATTTTGGTAAATAATAAGAACTAGAGTCACCAAACTTGACATATAGCTTCTAAAAAAGAATATATACATATATGATATAGGATTTTTCTTCATGGTTTTCCCTCTAGATTAATCTGGCATTCAAACCTGAACAGCGATTTTTTAGTCGAAATTCATGTCCAAATCTTACCCCAAGATTCGTATGTAGACATGGGTCAAAATTTACCACCCCCATATCTCGGCCAAATCTCATCCGATTTTCATGAAGTTTGGCGTTTTCTTCATGGGTTTCCCTCTAGATTAATCTGGCATTCAAATCTGAACACCGATTTTTAGTCGAAATTCATGTCCAAATCTTACCCCAAGATTCGTATATAGACATGGGTCAAAAATTACCACCCCCATAACTCGGTCAAATCTCATCCGATTTTCATGAAGTTTGGCGTTTTCTTCATGGTTTTCCCTCTAGATTAATCTAGCATTCAAATCTGAACACCGATTTTTTAGTCGAAGTTCATGTCCAAATCTTACCCCAAGATTCGTATATAGACATGGGTCAAAAATTACCACCCCCATAACTCGGCCAAATCTCATCCGATTTTCATGAAGTTTGGCTTTTTCTTCATGGTTTTCCCTCTAGATTAATCTGGCATTCAAATCTGAACAGCGATTTTTTAGTCGAAATTCATGTCCAAATCTTACCCCAAGATTCGTATCTAGACATGGGTCAAAAATTACCACCCCCATAACTCCGTCAAGTCTTATCCGATTTTCATGAAGTTTGGCTTTTTCTTCATGGTTTTCCCTCTAGATTAATCTGGCATTCAAATCTGAACATCGATTTTTAGACGAAATTCATGTCCAAATCTTACCCCAAGATTCGTATATAGACATGGGTCAAAAATTACCACCCCCATATCTCGGCCAAATCTCATCCGATTTTCATGAAGTTTGGCGTTTTCTTCATGGGTTTCCCTCTAGATTAATCTGGCATTCAAATCTGAACAGCGATTTTTTAGTCGAAATTCATGTCCAAATCTTACCCCAAGATTCGTATGTAGACATGGGTCAAATATTACCACCCCCATATCTCGGCCAAATCTCATCCGATTTTCATGAAGTTTGGCTTTTTCTTCATGAGTTTCCCTCTAGATTAATCTGGCATTTAAATCTGAACACCGATTTTTTAGTCGAAATTCATGTCCAAATCTTACCCCAAGATTCGTATCTAGACATGGGTCAAAAATTACCACCCCCATAACTCGGTCAAATCTCATCCGATTTTCATGAAGTTTGGCTTTTTCTTCATGGTTTTCCCTCTAGATTAATCTGGCATTCAAATCTGAACAGCGATTTTTTAGTCGAAATTCATGTCCAAATCTTACCCCAAGATTCGTATCTAGACATGGGTCAAAAATTACCACCCCCATAACTCGGTCAAATCTCATCCGATTTTCATGAAGTTTGGCGTTTTCTTCATGGGTTTCCCTCTAGATTAATCTGGCATTCAAATCTGAACACCGATTTTTTAGTCGAAATTCATGTCCAAATCTTACCCCAAGATTCGTATATAGACATGGGTCAAAAATTACCACCCCCATAACTCGGTCAAATCTCATCCGATTTTCATGAAGTTTGGCGTTTTCTTCATGATTTTCCCTCTAGATTAATCTAGCATTCAAATCTGAACACCGATTTTTTAGTCGAAGTTCATGTCCAAATCTTACCCCAAGATTCGTATATAGACATGGGTCAAAAATTACCACCCCCATATCTCGGTCAAATCTCATCCGATTTTCATGAAGTTTGGCTTTTTCTTCATGGTTTTCCCTCTAGATTAATCTGGCATTCAAATCTGAACAGCGATTTTTTAGTCGAAATTCATGTCCAAATCTTACCCCAAGATTCGTATCTAGACATGGGTCAAAAATTACCACCCCCATAACTCGGTCAAATCTCATCCGATTTTCATGAAGTTTGGCGTTTTCTTCATGGGTTTCCCTCTAGATTAATCTGGCATTCAAATCTGAACACCGATTTTTTAGTCGAAATTCATGTCCAAATCTTACCCCAAGATTCGTATATAGACATGGGTCAAAAATTACCACCCCCATAACTCGGTCAAATCTCATCCTATTTTCATGAAGTTTGGCGTTTTCTTCATGATTTTCCCTCTTGATTAATCTAGCATTCAAATCTTACCCCAAGATTCGTATATAGACATGGGTCAAAAATTACCACCCCCATATCTCGGCCAAATCTCATCCGATTTTCATGAAGTTTGGCTCTTTCTTCATGGGTTTCCCTCTAGATTAATCTGGCATTTAAATCTGAACACCGATTTTTTAGACGAAATTCATGTCCAAATCTTACCCCAAGATTCGTATCTAGACAAGGGTCAAAAATTACCACCCCCATAACTCGGTCAAATCTCATCCGATTTTCATGAAGTTTGGCTTTTTCTTCATGGTTTTCCCTCTAGCTTAATCTGGCATTCAAATCTGAACAGCGATTTTTTAGTCGAAATTCATGTCCAAATCTTACCCCAAGATTCGTATCTAGACATGGGTTAAAAATTACCACCCCCATAACTCGGTCAAATCTCATCCGATTTTCATGAAGTTTGGCGTTTTCTTCATGGTTTTCCCTCTAGATTAATCTAGCATTCAAATCTGAACACCGATTTTTTAGTCGAAGTTCATGTCCAAATCTTACCCCAAGATTCGTATATAGACATGGGTCAAAAATTACCACCCCCATATCTCGGTCAAATCTCATCCGATTTTCATGAAGTTTGGCTTTTTCTTCATGGGTTTCCCTCTAGATTAATCTGGCATTCAAATCTGAACACCGATTTTTTAGTCGAAAGTCATGTCCAAATCTTACCCCAAGATTCGTATATAGACATGGGTCAAAAATTACCACCCCCATAACTCGGTCAAATCTCATCCGATTTTCATGAAGTTTGGCTTTTTCTTCATGGGTTTCCCTCTAGATTAATCTAGCATTTAAATCTGAACACCGATTTTTTAGTCGAAATTCATGTCCAAATCTTACCCCAAGATTCGTATCTAGACATGGGTCAAAAATTACCACCCCCATAACTCGGTCAAATCTCATCCGATTTTCGTGAAGTTTGGCTTTTTCTTCATGGTTTTCCCTCTAGATTAATCTGGCATTCAAATCTGAACAGCGATTTTTTATTCGAAATTCATGTCCAAATCTTACCCCAAGATTCGTATCTAGACATGGATCAAAAATTACCACCCCCATAACTCGGTCAAATCTCATCCGATTTTCATGAAGTTTGGCGTTTTCTTCATGGGTTTCCCTCTAGATTGATCTGGCATTCAAATCTGAACACCGAGTATTTATTCGAAATTCATGTCCAAATCTTACCCCAAGATTCGTATATAGACATGGGTCAAAATTTACCACCCCCATATCTCGGTCAAATCTCATCCGATTTTCATGAAGTTTGGCGTTTTCTTCATGGGTTTCCCTCTAGATTAATCTGGCATTCAAATCTGAACACCGAGTATTTAGTCGAAATTCATGTCCAAATCTTACCCCAAGATTCGTATCTAGACATGGATCAAAAATTACCACCCCCATAACTCGGTCAAATCTCATCCGATTTTCATGAAGTTTGGCTTTTTCTTCATGGGTTTCCCTCTAGATTAATCTAGCATTTAAATCTGAACACCGATTTTTTAGTCGAAATTCATGTCCAAATCTTACCCCAAGATTCGTATCTAGACATGGGTCAAAAATTACCACCCCCATAACTCGGTCAAATCTCATCCGATTTTCGTGAAGTTTGGCTTTTTCTTCATGGTTTTCCCTCTAGATTAATCTGGCATTCAAATCTGAACAGCGAATTTTTATTCGAAATTCATGTCCAAATCTTACCCCAAGATTCGTATCTAGACATGGATCAAAAATTACCACCCCCATAACTCGGTCAAATCTCATCCGATTTTCATGAAGTTTGGCTTTTTCTTCATGGGTTTCCCTCTAGATTAATCTGGCATTTAAATCTGAACACCGATTTTTTAGTCGAAATTCATGTCCAAATCTTACCCCAAGATTCGTATATAGACATGGGTCAAAATTTACCACCCCCATATCTCGGCCAAATCTCATCCGATTTTCATGAAGTTTGGTTTTTTCTTTATGGTTTTCCCTCTAGATTAATCTGGCTTTCAAATCTGAACAGCGATTTTTTAGTCGAAATTCATGTCCAAATCTTACCCCAAGATTCGTATATAGACATGGGTCAAAATTTACCACCCCCATATCTCGGCCAAATCTCATCCGATTTTCATGAAGTTTGACGTTTTCTTCATGGGTTTCCCTCTAGA